GCCACAGACCCGGGGCTGTAACGCGACACCCGGGCGAACTCCACACTTGGAAAATCACATTACAGCAGGGAGAGAGCCAGCAAGGGGGAGGGTGGCTGTGAAGGCAGAGTTTGGGGAGCTGCGTTCACAGCCTTCTCTTAAGACATTGCTTTAATCTGTTGTTGCATCCCTTGCCCAGCACCACAACCCCACATGCTCACAACTACAATCAAAGCATTGGCTCTAGGATGTGATGAAGATAAATTGACCTGCTCCTTCTTTTCCATGAGGAGGCTTTTGTCTTGCTTTGCTTTGGCCCTCTCCCATTGCGCAAGCTCCTTCTCATACACATCATAGATGCAGGGTTTGCAGCCGCTGCCGCAGCACTGGGATGGAGAAGGTTCCTGGGGTTTGAGAGCCAGCCAGTCGTCTTCATTTCCACTCATTGTCTGTAAAACAAGCCTTGCATCAAAAACAGCACGATGAAGAGTGGCACATGCTCATCAGCCAAGAATTATTTGGAGGAGGACTGAGAAATCTCTTTCAAGCATCTTGCATGCCTATCTCAGGGGACTCAGAAAACTGAAAGCCTATGAGCAGATCTGGAGCCTGCAACGCTCCATTTTCATTCAAGCGCTCACTGCCTCTGTATTGTCCGGTGAAAAAAACAATCACCAGCCCAGAGCTGCACAGGAGACCCTTGCCCAGCCTCAGGCTCCGCTTTTGCAGCCTGGCATTCCAGGCAAAGCTACCTCCAGAAGCAGCAGGCACACCCTTACTCCTGCTCGTTCTGCCATGGTGATTTCCAACAAAAGAGCAGCCTGGTCACCCAGAGCAGAAACATCTTAAACATCTGCAGCTCTGTCCATGAGAACAAATAACACACGCCAGTCACCAAGATGCGGCCTGCTGGAGCACTGCTTTGAAACGGGGAGGGCAGGGAGCTGAAAGCGGGGTTTAGAGCCAAAAGACTGGAGGCAAACGTAGTAAAGTCACAGGCAAACAGACACGTTGGTTATAAGCAGATTTGAGTTCGGCTGTGAATACAGACATGTTGGAAACGACAGGACGCACCTGCAGCATGATGTTTATCCCTTGGCGCTACCATCGCTTCAGACAGAGCTGTACTCCAACCAACCAAACGCTCCCCAAACCGAAATCAAGACGCCGGTATCTAGACTGTGCTATTTTCACACAATGCTGTTCCCAATGCACTTGTACCTGCATTATTTAAACAAACGGAGGTCCAGAGGAAATTACAAAGCCACGGGTGACGAGGCCGAGGCCAAGAACACTCAGCACTTAGAGCGACTTAATTTTCAAGGTGAATTAATTAACAACCCTTCACCCCTGCAACGCAAGCACATTTATTCTCATGTAACGGGGCAAAGCAGGAATTAAGGCGAACGGTCCTGCTCTCTACAGCAGACGACGGCTCTGTGCCCCCTGAGCCGGCCCGGAGCGCCGAGCACCCGCAGCGCCTCTGCGGGCCGTAGGAGGGCAGCCCCAGCCGGGCGGCAGGCGGAGCCCGGAGCCCTCCGGCGCGGGGCTGAGCACCGTCAGAGTTCCGAGCACTTACGGAGCGCGCCCAGGGCTGGGGCTGGG